CCTATTTTACACTTAACTAAAAATAACAGTGGAGATCCTGATGTGGCTAACAATGCTACTTGTGGTGCTGCTTCTGCTACTTTATCATAATAATCACTCTCTTCATCATCTTCAGATTCTTCCTCTATGTACTTTTTTTCTATCTCTTTAAGTTTATCATCATAAGTTGTGGTAACATTCTTTGTATGAAGCACATCATTCTGTTCAAAATATCCTTCAAAGTCTTCACTCTCTACATCTGAGTCGATTTCTCCAGAATCACTTGATTCTGCCTCCATATCAATAAACTTATGATAATCTCTTTTTCTCTTACTACTCATAATTTTTATTAAAAATTTTTTATAAAATTTTATTCAAACTCGCATACAAAGAATCCTTCTGAATTAACTTTGTTTCTTTCTTTTAGTGATTTAATTTTAATTTGAGCATTATAAACTACTTGTTTCTTATCAAGTTCTTTATTCAGATATTTTTCATACAACTCTATTGCTGTATCTAAATCACTCTTTTCTATATATTTTGAGTACTCATTTAACAAATCTATTTGTCTGTTTTTTATAGCTTCTTTTATCATTTCTATTGTTACATTCATTTTCAAACAAATTTTTTAGCCCTAAAAATGTCTGAAAAATCTGAGGATGTTAAAATTTATTTTCTTTTTGATAACAACTTGCACAAAAAATCACTTGAATTGCTAGAAGAACTCATGAGTGTGATACCCAATTCAGTTAAATCTTATAAAAATTCTGATGAGATGAAATATCTCAATTATATTAAAGTACATGAAGATATTGGTCCTCAATACTTGATAATTAATCAACCTAACTTTAGTAGAATTGTTTTTAAGATAATCCACTTCAAATCAAGAGCTGATTTGGGTTTTACTAAACAACCAATTATATCAAAAAATTATAATTTAGTTTTGAATAACTTTACTTCTGATTTGGGTATTAAAGTAGCTAATCAATTAATGGAAATTTATAGTGACTGTAAATTAAATTCAAACCAGGTTATTAACTTTTCTGTTCATAAAGATTTTATATACTTTAGATTTTATAGATTTAAAATAAGTGTTTCTAAAACTGATTTAGAAAAGGAAAAAGTTTTATTCCATCAATTAGGTCCTCAACTTACTTTAAGATTATGGAGAATGACAGAAGTTATAGAAGGAAAAGAAAAAATTTATAATTATGAAAAGTATATAAAACATGCTAATTTACTTTAAATCTTCATTCATTTGATTAAACTTATTAATTAATTCTTTAAAATCAAACGTTCTTTTTTCAATTTTAATTTCTTTTTTAGTTTTTAATTTAGGTTTATTTTCTTTTTTAATTGAAATTATACTTTCTAATTTTTTAATAAAATTTTTATCATATTTTACTTTTATATTTTTGTTTTTAAATAAGTTATTATTAATTAAATTACTTTCATCAAATAAATAATCTTTTTTATAGTTAATTAATTTTATATTATAACAAGCATTTAATTGATTATAATAATTTATGATTTTATTGTATAAAATAATGTTTAATTTGATTATTATAACTAATAATTCTGCTAATTCATACTCAGTTAATACAATCATTTTTTATTTTATTTTTATTTATAAATAAATTTTTTAATAAAGTAAATTGTTTATTTATTCATTTCAATTAAATGATCACATTCAATTATTTTATCTAAAACATCATTAACTGACCCTTTCCAATCTTTATTTCCTAAATCAATAAATCCTGTTATTTGATTTACTTTCAAATTAATAAATTTTTCATTAACCATAAAAGATAAATATTCTATTAAATCAGTTTCATTCCACTGCAGTAACTCACCTAATAGTTTAATAGAAATTTTACTAAACTTTTTTTCAATAATCCTAAGATTAAATTCAATTTGTGCCCACTCAACATAACTATCAAGTATTTGAAATGAATTTTGATAATCACTTACAATTTCTTTCAATAATTGTTTAATATCTGTTTCTAATAAAAAGTTATTTCTAAACATTTTGATTATTTTTCTTACTTTAGAATCTAAAAGTGGTTCTTTTTCAAACACTTCTAATAATTCTTCCTTCTCCTCTGTAATATCACGTTTCTCAAGTTTACATGAACTTGTTAAACAATAAAAAGCACCTGTTGTTAGAAAATTTCCAGATGGTTGAACTTTTTGTGATTCTAAAGTTATACGAGCCGCTTCTAAATACCTGTTTTGACTAACCTTTGACATAAATTTAGATGAAAAGTACTTGATTTGATCTTCTAAATCCATACTAGACTTTCTTATCTTCTTTAAAATTAGTTCAGATTCTTCATTCTTTTCTAAAACAAACGCTAAGAAAAATTGTTGAAATATAAACATATTCTTCCTTTTCTCTGAAATATCAGTGAATGTTTCTACAGGCACGTTGTTTAATATTTCATATGCTTTATTAGCATCTTTTCTATCACTATATTCTTTAGCTAAATCCAATGCAAGTTCTACTCTTTCATTCTCAAGGTACATTTTTCCTGATAATACCTCTTTAAGTAAGGTTTCTTTAAATTCTTTTGATTTGTTTTCTTTAAGAATTAACTCTACCAATTTCTTAATACAGTCAAAGTTTTGATTCCTCTTATTCTGTAGTAATTTAAGATTGGATATTAATTCAGCATCAGTCTTACACTCTCTACATATACTATTCTGGATACTAAATAATCTATCTACATCTCTTAACATTCTCGCCTTCCTCTCTTCCTCGTATAATTTATCCATAATTAATGGGATATTTTTAAATAAATTTTACATAAATTTTATGGATTACGCTTTTATCTCTAAATATGATTTAAATTACAAAATACCAAAGAATTCAAATTCATACTTTATAAGAACTGATTCAGCCATATTGAATATAAATTGTTACAACCAGTTAAAAACATAAAGTTATCTACACATAGAGTGTTTAGTAATAACAAACTTAAATTTGTTCTGTATAAAAAGAAATTAGAGATCTATGAAGACAAAAAACTAATTAATAAGTTAAAGAGTAATTATCCTATCTTAGTTTGTAATGGAACATTTCTAGTTAGAGAACAAGAAGATAATAAAGCTAAAGTAGTTAATGCTAAAGGGAATATTAATGATACTATCTACAAAGAAAACTGTTTGTTTTACACTGAACGAGGTGTAATGTTTTATGTAAAGAGAGATCAAGGATTGGCTAATAAATGTGATTGTATTGATAATTGTAACTTACCTGCTAGAAGAGGTGTGTTATATCAAGGAAATTTAGCATCATCATTTTTTGATCAAAAAATTATTTATAATTATGATGGTAAGAAAGTTGAATTAAATGACATTACAATTTTAAAAGATTGTGCTTCTATTAAAAATATATTCGATCTTAATGTAATTATAATTGATGGAAAGGAATTTATAATAGTTTTAACTATCAATGCTTTCTTTATTATTCATGATGATATAATTATTAAAAAGAGTGTTTCTGATTATAATTATATTGCACCTAATAGAAATGTTATTCATGATTTTATAAAGGAAATGTCATATTCAAGTTTATTTATGTACTTTAATATTTATTTTAGTTTATCACCGGTTGGTAAAACAAGTGAAGTTGAAATAGTTAACTTTTATAATTTAAAAGAGTCTAATCAAAAGTTAACTGATACTTTCTTACTTTTTCTTAATAATTTAAGACCCTTTCAAAATGTTCTTTGTAAGGCTTATAGATTATTAGATGATAAGGGAAAGAATGAGGTATTACAATTTATTAATATTGAATTATTAGATTCTGAATGTTTATCTTTAATTATACAATTTCATTATGATCTCATTGAAATGTTAGTATCAAAATGTATAAGAGAAAATAGATTAGACATTTTAAAAGATACTTATGATTATTTTAAGAATATTGAAAATGTTGATGTTATAAGACTTACACTTCTTAGAAATAACATTTTATTTGAAAAGATAGAAGGGTTTGAGGATATTTATGAAATGCAAATGTACGAGGTTGAGGCATCTAGAAATTATTTTAATCCCCAATCAACTGATTTATTTGATAATAATTTCTTTAAATAAATTTATTCTAAATTTTTATCATTTAAGTCTAAATTTTGATCAGGTTTTTTGACACAATTAGAACGTTCACAAGTATCTCTTACACGTTTTTTATAGGCTTTATAATTTGTAAGATAAAGTTCAGCTGCATCTGGACACAAAGGATCATATGCATTAGGTTTGTCTAACATTGACATTATGGCTAATAAAGCTTTATCAATTGTTAAGGCAGGTGACCAATCTTTACCTAATGTACTTATACAAATAGCACCTTGTGAATTTATATTGGGATGATAAATAGGTGTTTCAAAAATTACCACAGGTGGACTATAAGGATAAGTATTTGGTATCTTTATTACTAACATAATTGTGTATTGTAATATAAGCTACTTTTATTTGGTTTGAATATTGCTTTCCATGTAAACAGATCACCTTGAAAGCAGGGTTCTATTATTATTTCTTCTGACTCACCTGCTAGTGCTCTTTTTATTTCTTTGTTCAATCTAACTATTGTTGTGGATGTTGCTTTGTTATTAGGCATTTTAAGGAGTTTGTAATCTATTTTTTTTAATTTCTTAAAGGGGAATCTCAAATTATTTTATTATTTGTATTGTGTAATTTTTTCTTACAAATTTAACTGAATCATTGTAAATGATTTTAAAAATTGATTGTAGAATTCCTGCAAATAAATCAACTCCCTTTTCTTTACCGTAAGTCACTAACATTGATTCACTTAAATCTATAAAATTATCAGTTATTATTATTGTTTCATTTAAATCTAAGTATTGATTAAAGAACTTGTTTATAAATTCATTAATTTCTTTATCAGTTGTAATCTTTGTTAAAATGTAGTTTGTTGCACAGAAATCATTAACTAATTTGCTACCTATTGATAATCCTAGTTCATAAAGATTAGTTTCATTAGTAAAACTGTCTCTACAAAGTGAATTATAAAATATTAAAAATAATTTTGAATTGATATCATTTTTTTTATTCATAAAAAAGGGTGAAATTATTTATTATAAAATTATTTATTGTTTTTTCTTTTAAAAAATTGAATGTTTTTTATTAAAATTTTGTTTAAGTAAATTCTTAATGTTTTACTTTTTAAAAATTTAAAACATTAAGAATTTATAATTGAAGGATGAACCTAATTTACTTAACATCGTTAGATTAGAAATCTTTAGTCATGGGTTCGAATCCCATGTTGGAACAGGGGTATTTAAGAAATTATTTTTAGAAACCCATAATATTAAATAAACTATGAAGAAGAAAAGAGATTTATTTAAAGAAACTGAAGAACAGAAATCAGACGAGTGTGGAGAAGTCACACAACACAACAATAATAATAATAACTTTTGATTTTCTCTTATAAAAAATATTTTTTATAATAAAGTTCTTTAATTGAGACATTTTAATTTAATCTTTTTAGTGAGTTAGGTTTTTTATTAAATATATGTTTTTAAGTTGTTTATTCAAATAATTAAATCTTTATAATTACTAAATTTAATCAAAATTTAAAAATAATTACAAATTTTTAAAGGTGTTATTTACAAGAAATACCAACAAAATCTTAATGTATATCTTATGAATTTAAATTAAAAAAATAAAATAATTGATATCATTTAACAAAGAAATTTTGATATTAAATTGTGACTGTAAATTTTATATCAATCATAATTTTAAAATAATTAACATAATAATACTTTCAAATTATAATAATACTAATTTCATTAAAAAATAAGATCTAAGGGTTGGTAAAATTAAAAACACTAATTTGTTTTTACATACATGCTTAATGTATATAATTATTTTAAATACATCATCAATAAATAAATTTATTTAAATAAACAAAAAAAATTATATTTAAACTATTTAAATTAACTTTACTATCATATAAAATAGTATAAAATTAAAATTTATTTATAAAAACGTTTATTTTTTGATCAAAAACAAAGTAAAAATGTTATTAAAAATTATTTATTATAATAATTGAAATTTTATTTGTTTAAATAAATAAATATATTATAGTATAATTAAATTAAAAAAGAATAAAAAATTAATCAATATTACAAATTTCCTAATTTGGATGACATTGTTTTGAAACTGTTTTAAAACAAAAATAAATAAACCAAGTGATACAAATTTAATGCGAGTAAACAAACATATGGACAATAGTTTTTCACCTGAGCTAGCAGATACAGAACTTTATGATTTCTTAGTGAATGCACCAAAAAAATTTAGAGAGAATGAGAGGATAAAAAAATTTCAATTAAAGAATGGGGATTTTATTCACTGTGTTTTATGGAATTATCACTTTTATATTACAGGTACAGACATAGTAAAGATATTAATTTACAGGTTTCAAATAGAGAATAGACTAATACCAACCTTAAAAAAATTTGAGGAGGGTATATTTAGTGATTTAAGAAATCTGAAACCTGGAATTGATGCAACACTAGAAGAACCAAGATCAGAATTTTTAGAATTCCTCTATAAGAATGGATGTATAAGAACACAAAAGAAACAAAAAGTATTCTTTTGGTATAGTGTCCCCCATGATGTATTATTTTGTGATGCAGTAGAAAGAGACTTAAGAAGAGAGAACCAATCACAAATGTTATACTTCCACTCAAATAGAGGTTATAATAATGGTGTTAATGGTAATGGAGAGGTGCGTAAGAGAACAAGGAAGATTACGTTTGACAGTGGATTTAAATCATTTGATAAGTCAAGAAATAAAGATTCACTCAGACAGACCTTATTTGGTGATTTTTCAGAGCCAGAAACTTATCAAGGTACACCACAGGCACCCAAGAGAAAAGTGATTCCAAAATTCACTAACAAAACAAATTTCAATAATGATAGTGGTCTATCTAACATAATAAGTTCACGTAATAAGATTAATCAACAGGGACAAGATTATCTTAATTTTTACAACACACCATTCTATAACTTTCAACAACATAATGTATTCTCCACACTTGGATCAGATCTTAACTATGATGGGATGAATATTAATGACAATAATGCACAAGTATCAATGATCTCTAAACCAGAAGATAAAAAAGTCAAAAATAAAGAAATAGCAGATCTTGAGATATTAATTGATTCTCATCTTTCAGAACCGGAATTTTTACTTAAAAATGATGATCACGAATCTGATCAATAATCTAATAATAAAATTTTTAACCCATTTTGATGAGTAAAAATCAATTTCTTCTATTTGATCATTTGAACAAATTAGAGTTATTTAAGCTAAAATCTTTTGAAATGTTGGAGACTAAATCATTTAGTGATTATATGGCTTTATTAGAAGTTGTTACACATGTATCAACACTTGAGAACATTGAAATAGAGAGAGTAATAGATTGGTTAAAATTTAATAAAGTAGAAGAATTACACTGTGATAAATCATACGAAGCTTATAGAACTATTTGTAAAGAGAATAAGATTGAAATTATCACAGATAAAACAAATAACATAATGAGAGGAATAAGACAGAATATTCAAAAAATTTTAAAGAAATCTGATGAGAAGGCTTCTATTTTAAAATATGCTTATGATTTTTCAAGAAAAGCTGTTGGTGAACTCAGAAATGACATGTACTCCGTTCATTTAGCTTATGAAATTCAGACAATTGAAAGAGAGATTGAATCAATAGAAAAATTATTAATTGGAAAAGAAGATTTTATTTTAAATGAAGAAACAAACAAATTTGAAAGAATCGAAATTAAAGATTCTTCTGATTTGACAGTAAAAATTTTAAATGAGAAAAGAACTTTATATAACGAACTAAAAGAGAAATTAAATGAAAAGATCAATCAAATAGCACCTGAATTAAGAAAAGTAATTGGAAATGATATTTTAGTGAGCAAAATGATACATAAAGCAGGTGGTTTGACTAATCTTGCCATACTTCCTTCATCAACCCTCCAGTTGTTAAAGGCAGAAAAATCTTTATTTAGAGCACTCAAATTTAAAAAGCCCACACCTAAATATGGAACTGTTATTTATGAGGCTTTAACTAAAAGTGATAAGAAATTAAATTCAAGACAATTAGCTAATGCTGCAGCAATTGCTGTAAAAATTGATGTTTTTTCAAATAAAGATTAATAAATTATCCCATGTTATTTGATTATTTTAGTCACAAATATAAATTAGTTGATAATCCTCTAGCAGGACCTTTCACAATCTTTTATAATAATTGTAAATTTAAATCAAAAGCTAGTTATACTGATGAAAAGGTTGTTTATGCTTATTTCTTATGGTGCAATCTTTCTGATGATAGAAAAAAATTTTATGAAAAAATTTATTTAAAGCAATTTGATAAGATAAAAGATCCTGGGATTCAAGATTACTATCTTGAGAAGATAGAACAAACAGACAAGAAAGAAGGTAAGATAAAATTTAGTAAACTTTCAATGATAAAGTCTAAAAATGTTCTAACCAGTGAGATAAAAAGCTCTATTCCTTCATCAGAAAAGAAGCTTATTTCACCAATAGGATTTGATTATCTTGGATCACTCAGATGGAAGAAGGGAGGTTATTATACAACCAAATTAGTTTTTCTAACATTTTTAAGAGAGATCCTTAAAACTCACTATACGAAAGATGATTATTTTAATAAACTGAAAAATAAAGAAAAGCTCACATCAGAAGAATGTTATAAATTGGCAATTCATATAGGACAGATATGGAACAATCTTAATAGTGTACAAAAGAAAGAATGGGTAAAAAAATCAAAAGAATATTACAGGCAATAAAAAGTGTAAGTCTGTTGTTCAAGTTGATTATTTTTTATTTAAAAAATTTCATCCCTAGTTCTTAACCTCGTAACATGTTTTATATTAAAAATATCAACCAAACAGTATCTTTATCACCAAAATATATGAAGTCAAATGTTTCTAGTACATTGAAGGAGTATCTATCAAAAAATGTGGAGGGAAGTATTTCAGAGACAGGATATGTTATCTCGATATTGGAATTCAGCAATATTGGCATGGGACGAATATTGCCGAATGGAGATATTGCGATAAAAATTAAATACAAAGCCTTACTTCTTAATCCACAAAAAGCTGACGTTATAGATGCAAAGATAGTTTCTAAAAATAAAATGGGGTATTTTGCTAAGATGGGACCAATTTCAGCTTTTATTTCTATCTATCAAATACCAGATCATTTACTTGAACATCTGAGTAACTCTATGAATGTTAGATTAAAGATCATTGGGACTAAAATTGAGCCTAAAAAAATTGTCGTTGTTGGAACTCTTAAAGGTGATGAATTGGGTTTGAAAAATTTGCAATAAACTTTATTAAAATGTTTTATTTGAAGATATTTTAATAAAGTTTTTACTTGAAATGAAGTAGATTAAATTGTTTTATTTAACAAGAGAATATATTAATTTGTTTTAATGCTTTCAAAGTTTCAAAACTAAGGATAGCTACTCCATTTTTTACTAATACTATAAAATTACCTATTGTTAACATTTGACTTGCTATTAATAAACTGGCAAATGTAAAATTAAAAACTGTTAAAAATTTTTGATGTTTTATACTATTTGACTCATTTTTGTTTACTTTTTTAATATATTTTACTATTATTGTCACCAATATAAAAACTATTAATTGGGTTGATCCTTGAATGCATAGATTTAATATATCATTAGAACCTAATAAATAATATAGAAATCCTATGTTCAAACCACATAATACAAATGGTGTAATTATTTCTATAATCTTATTATTAGAATTTGCTCCTAAAATATTTCCAAATAAACAAGCACCAGTAATATATGATTTAATAACATTATCTTTTATTCCTCTATCATATTGAAATAATGATAAAGGATAAAATATTAAGAAAATGGTTAATAATATCTCACTGTACTTTAAAAACTTATTGTTTTCAATATCATATTCATCATTTTGTAATTCTTTATAAAATCCAAATCCTATAAAAATAAGTATTGCCAATCCTGTTGATAAATTTAAATAAGAAAATAAGTTAGGAGTAGGTAAAGCAATATCTGTACTTGCTTCTGAAATTGTTTTTACTAAAGCATAAACTGTGCTTAAAACAAAACATTCTAAAGTAATTACTTTGATAATTTCAGTTATTTGAAATGATGTAAATTTTTTTTCTTCCTTCTTACTATCTTCTTTCATATAAAATCATTGATAAATTTTTTATATTTTAATTTTATTAAAAAAATAATAAAAAATTACAATTAAGGAAATTAAAAAATTAATTAAAAGATTTTATTCAGAACTCTTAGTTTCAGAAGAAGTTTTAAGATGAGAAACAGGTAATTCTGTTAATTCTTTTTCATATTCACTAATGACAGCTCTCACTGATGAAATATTTTTATTAACTTCATCATAAACCTTTCTGTATCTCCCAGCTGTTTCTCTCTGTTTTTGGTCGATCTCCTCTAAAGTCTTATCTGCTGATTTCTGATCGTTAGGAATCGAAATTTTATACTTAAAAAGTTTAGAAACCAAATCAGCTGAAAATTTAAAATCATTTAATTTTTTAGCTTTGTTAACATTAAATCTTAAATTTTCAAACACTTTATCACTAAAATCATTAAGTCTTTGTTCTTCAAGATTGATCTTTTTTAACTCTTCTTTTATTTTATCTCTAATCTTTCCCTTTTCAGCTTCTAATTCTTTAGCAATCAAAATCTTCCGTTTGATTTCTTTGCTTTCAATAATAAGATTATGTAACTGATCTCTTTTAGCCGATCTGTTACTAATTTCGTTTTTCTTGAGTGTTTTTAATGAAGCAATTTGCTCATCTAATTTCTCTACTTCAGGAATTTTCTCAGTCTTACTTGCAGTTAACTTTTTAAGTTCAAGTTCTGTATTTTTAATGGTAATTCTTGTATCAAAAATAGTGTTATTGATATTCTTTAACTCTTTAACCATATCTTGATAAATCTTGGTTTTATTTTGAAGTTTTTTAGTGTTCATTTCTGACATTCCATATTTTTCCCTTCTATTTTCTAACTTAATTATTTCATCATAACATCTCTTTGATTCTGAATCACTCATGTTATCTGATAAGAATTTCTTATTTAAATTCTCTATTTTACTGTTAATAGTTTCTAAAGACATAATTTCTGATCCACCGTTTATTATTGATATTTCATCCTTAATAACTGCAATATCTCCCTGAATAACTCCTAATCTTTCTTTAAGTTCTTTCTTTGCATGATCTTTTTCTTTTAGTTGACTATTAAGTTGATTTAATGTTGTCATGATTTTACCTCTTTTACTAGTTTCCTTTAAAGAAGAATATATTGTCTGTATCTGTCTTTTGCATTCTGCTATTTTAGTATCATATTCTTTTATTCGATTCTCATGTTTAACCAATTCAGATTTTACTGTACTAATTTCTGTTTTAATATCTCTCTTTTCTATCGACATCTTTTGGGGTTAAAATTTTGATTAAAAAATCTAACAGAACTTTTAAATACATCATTTTATTAAAAAAGTTAAGTTTAATATTTTTCTTTGATTTCATACACAAATTTATTCTCATTAAAATATTATTATTTTCTTATATTTCATAATATTAACTAATTAAAGAATTTTATAATAAGATAGTTTATTTAATATTTATCTTTTAAATTAAGAATAATTAAATAAATTTGTTTCTTTTAACAAACAAAATTAAAAATTGTATTTATTAAATTTCTTAGCCTATAAAGGGACCAACACAAGATATAATATTTCTATATCCAAACTTAGCTTGAATAATCGGAGTGTTTTTAGTAAAGTAAGTACTTATAGGATTTTGACAATTCTCTTCCATGTTCCATAACCTAACTGAATTATCAGCCCCTGATGAGCTAATAATTGAACCAAAGTAACAGAAAGACACAGAATAAACAGTTGAATCATGCCCTGTGTACATATTTATCACCTTAGCTTTATCTAAATCCCATAAAATTACTTTTTTATCAGTAGACCCACTAACCATGTACTTACCATCATGACTAACATCAATACAGGTTATAGTTCCTGTATGAGCATCAAATACACGAACTAATTGAGCAGATTCAATCTCATGCATTCTAATTTTATAATCAGATGAACCTGAAAATAAGTAATTGAAATTTGGATGAAATTTAACAACCGTTACATCACTCAATGCGGATAAAAACATTCTTTCGGGTTTAATATTCTTAGTACACCAAACAATTGCTTGTTTATCAGCACTACCAGAAGCAAAAAACATATCATTAGGGGCAAAGTCAACAGACCAGATTGGAAATGAATGAGCTTTATAAACAGCAATACACTCAAATAATTCTAAAGACCAAAGTCTAATAGTACAATCAGTAGATGAAGAGATTAAAAACTTTGAAGTGTTAGAAAACTTAATACTTAAAATTGGACCAGAATGACCTATTAATCTATA